GGAGGAAGTATGGTTCCAGTTGTCCGACGTGGATCAGGAAGGGTTCGGATGAGTCGTTGTATCGTTTAATATGCGCGTTGACGGGTCCAGGGATTGATGTCACGGTGAACGGTCCTTCATATTTCGGTGATAGCTTTTTGAAATCCGGACGATTGTATGGTATGCGCCGTTTAACCAGTTGTCCAACCTTTAGATCGATCGGGTGGTGACTTTTGTCATACGCTGCTTTAGTTCTTGCTTTGATGAGATCCGTACGATGTTTGGCCAGTCTTCGGGCTTCATGTATGTCGGTTTGGGTATTCAATGTGTCCGTTCCAAACATCAGGTACGAAGGTGTGAATTCAGTGACTGTATGAATAGTGTTGTTATAGTTATCGGTCACTCCTTTCAATAATGTTGTCCATTTTCGGCGAGGGTTAGCCAATAAAGCGATAGATAATCCCTTTTTGACCGATCCGTTGACCCTCTCATTTGTACCATTTGTCTGCGGATGATATGTAGACGTAAATAGATGTCGGATATTGCTATTAGTCAGGAATCTCTTGAGTTCTTTTGACTTGAATGTCTTAAAGTTGTCGGTTAATATAGCGTCAGGTTCGCGGCCAGTTGTCTTAATTAGATCGGTCAACACTGATATGCATGCTTGAGCCGAATTAGTTGGTGTGGCTTTAGTCCAAATATATCGCGAGTGGTGATCGATCACGACTTGTATGTATTTATGTCTTGAGTTGGCCGCTTCACTGCCCATAACTATGGTATCCATAGCGATGAGTTTGAGCGGAAGGTCTGGTGTCGGTAATGGCTGTAGTTCACCATATGGTGTATGATTCGCTGGTTTTGCCAGTTGACAGATATGACATGACTTGACATACTGTTTAATATCGTATATCATTGATGGCCAGTAATAATGTTTTTTGATTTGCTTAGTGGTGATACGGATTCCTGGATGACCACTACTGTCGTGCGCTTGTTCTAATAATGGATGTACTAGACTCGGAGGTATGATGGATAGAGATCGGCCATACTTGGGGATGGTATACAGTTCATCCAAATTAGTTGAATGGAAGACCGATCGATTATCAGATGTTGATTTCGGTAGTGTTTGATCGGTCGATGTTACCACTCGAACTGGTTCTTCATATACCGCGTTAGCTTCGGTGTCCTGTATTTGATGTTGCAATATGACTTGATCACGTATAAAATAATTGATAGGTGCGCGGGACAAGGCGTCGACGTGAGCCATCTGAGATCCGGGTTTATGTATAACCTCAAAGGTATACAGACTAAGCTCTTCAGACCATCTGAAGAGTCGTTTTTTAGTAGATTGAAAATTAATAAGCCATTTGAGGGCCTTGTGGTCTGTGTATAGTTTGAAGTTGACTCCTTCCAAGTATATACGGAAGTATCGTATAGAGTCAAACACTGCTAGACATTCCAGTTCGGTAACTGTGTAGCGTGATTCGGCGTCAGCGAGTTTACGTGAGTAATAACCGATCGGTCGGTCATTTTGGATAAGTATTCCGGCGATTCCTATTGTTGATGCATCGGTATGTAATTCGATAGGTTGGTTGGGATCATATATAGCCCGAACCGGTTCCGATGCCATCAATTCCTTGAGTTTGTCGAACGATTGTTGGTGTTGATCGGTCCACAGGAAGTCCTTTGATTTAGATTTTTTCATTAGTTGAGTCAGTGGAGCAGTTATAGTTGCAAAATCAGGAATATATTCTCTTAAATAGTTGGCCAGTCCATGAAAGCGTTGAACTCCCTTTTGATCGGTCGGCGTCGGGAAGTCCATTATGGCTTTGATTTTAGAATCGGGTGGTCGAACGGATTGACCATCGATATGATGTCCTAAAAATTCGATGTTATGTTTATCAAACTCACATTTTTCTTGTTTGAGGCGAGCGTTATTGAGAGCCAGGCGTTTGAATACTTCAGCCAATATGTTGTCGTGATGCTCCTGAGTTTTAGCGTAGATTATTATGTCGTCGAGGTATGAGATTACGCCATTGTTGTGTAAGTCGCCTAAAATCTTACGGACGACTCGGTGGAACGTTGCAGGGCTGTTCTTCAGTCCAAACGGTAGAACGGTCCACTCGTAGTGGCCGTCGCGGGTTACGAATGCTGTTTTGGTAATATCTTCGGGAGCAACGGCTACCTGCCAGTAACCCGAAGCAAAGTCAAGCTTAGAAAAGATGACCGATCCTTGTAGTCGATCGATCACGTCTGCGATGACTGGTAGAGGTGTCTTATCAGCAACGGTTACCGAATTGAGTCGACGGTAGTCAATACACAAACGAAAGGTGCCGTCTTTTTTGGGCGCCAAAGTAATCGGTGCTGCGTATGGGCTAACGCTTTCCCGAATTAGACCTTTTTCTAGGAGATCTTTTACTTGACGTGCAGTCTCAGCTGCCATTTGATGGGATTGACGGTATGGTCGCTGTGCGATTGGCTGTTGGTCTGTCAAAATGATTCGATGCTGTTCGATGTTAATGAGGCCTAAATCAGTAGAATCGGCGGCAAAAATATGTTTATACTCATTAACGAGTTGTTCAGCTTTTGTTGGTATTGTTCGAACTGATCGGTCATTTGATCGATCAGTTATAGCGTTTGTTATAAGATGACAGTGATGTCCGTTTGAAGTCCGTTGTGTGAAGTAATGTCTATCTTTAGACCATTTGTATGACACTGTCTTGTCATGGGTGTCGATGATAATACCAAAATGTCCGAGAGATTCAAGTGATAGAAGTAATGTATAAGCAAATCCATCGAGTACTTGCGATCGGATTGTTTTTGTCATTCGATTGATGGTAAGTCTGAATGAAACTTCACCGATGGTGCGGACCGATCCTCTCGCCAGATCGATCGATGTCCAATGTTTACGATTGATGTGAAGTTTAAGATGATTCGCTACATGTAATGGCATAATATTTACAGTAGATCCAGGGTCGGCAAATGCGGAGAGTTCGAATCGTCCTATTCGACCAGGAATTAAGATAATTTCTCGTGAATCAGATGCTGATGCCATAGTTTGATGACGGATAAAATGATTAGATGATGCTTGAGATGGTTGTGGAGCGATGGCTGATCCATTATCATTTTGAGGTGCTGTTGGTTTATAAGGGCAATCCTTATGGAAATGCCATGATGTTAGACCACGGTCTCGGCAGATCCTACATGAATAAGGCGGTCGATTTTTATTTGATCGGTCATTTCGATGGTTAGGGTTAGGCCTTTTTGACCGATCGTTGGACTTGTCCTGTGAAAAGTGAGAGCGAGGTTTGTTTTGATGGTACGATTGTTTTGTTTTATCGGCTTCGATGTCCTGAGCCATCTCTAACCAAGCATTAGTACTTTGAAATCTTCGGCCGTAAAAGTATTCTTTGTATTCGTGTTGTAGGCCTTCTGTGAGCAGATTAGCTCTTTGAGAGTCTGTATATCCAGTGACACGACGAAGAAGTTTCATTTTTTCGTCGTAATATGTCTTCATCGGTTCATTACGCTGTTGCCGTCGGCGGGTGGCTCCTACTTCTGGAGGTATATCGCAATGCGAGTACCGATCGGTCAATAGTTGCTTGACTTTATCCCACTTAATGCAGGGATCGATCAGTATGTCTGACCCGAAATAGTTCGCGGCGTCGTCGATGAGAAATTCCATAATGTGGTCAACTTTACGGTCATCAGTATATGTACGGTAAGCCCTTTCAAACATTTGGAGGAATGCTTCTACTTTAAGAGTTGAGTCCTGAGCACCACTGAATTTAGGAACTTTGAGAGTAATTTTAGTGGCCATGTGTTGGACGGTCGGATCGACGGATAGGTTTTGCATAGCCGTCGCCATTGTATTGTCGGTAGAAGTAGATGTGCTTTGAGTTGCAGGCGCTGCTGCGTTGCTCGTATTATCGTCAACCATGTTGTCTGTATTGATAATTTCTTGATTCGGTTCGATGGTATAGCGTGTTCCGTGTCTTGTGAATCCTGTAGCGTTAAGAGTAGTCATTCAGCGTAGATAGGGATCAATATTGTGATCTGTGCCGACTGCGCCAATTTGTTGCGGTTGTGTTGTCTTTAAGGGACTTCCCAACCACAGATAGTTTTGTTATGATTAGTTAGATCGGTCAATAGGACAGTAATTGTCAGTACACTGCGTGGGTCGGTATGAGACCAGTACTCGACACTCCAACTAATCAAAGTAACAGTTGTCTCGCGTGGGTCCGATTGAGACCAACAACTGATTGTAGTATCAACTGGTCGGCCAGTAATTGACTTAACAGTTGATGATAGGATTGCTTGAATGCCACGGTGTGTGTCACTCAAACAATAGACAGATCTGCAGTAGTGGTGACCCGAGTTAGGCCAGGGAGGAGATCCTAATATACTTGAATGACTTCTAGACTTCAGAGTTCAGTTGACCAGAGGAACAGTAGGTGAACTAGTGATGTGACGTTTCAATGACTTTACTCACAATTAATATTAATTCACTTTATTTAATAATAAGATAAAAATGTATGAATACAATGGTTGTTAACTGTAGGTATTATAAGCACATGTAGTTGAGTGTAATGGTATGAATTACTGTATAAAATGTCAGTACAGTTTGGCGGTTAGGTATACACTCTCTCTCTAGTAGTGTAGCAGTACATTGGGTTTTTATAGTGTGTGTGAGGTACAGGTATGTAATGGTATTAAATGGGTAGCTATTGGTTAGTTCAAATAAAAGACAGTTGGACGGTTAGATCGGTCTAATGGTGCCAATAGGATGACCTAAATGACCGATCATACCAGGAATAGGTGTAAATGGATAGTTGTCGGCAATAAAAGTACTTAAGTATAATATGGAATGCACTATAAAATAGGTATCAATTAAAAGGTATATAAAAATAGATATTCAAAATTATAGCTAAAAGTAATATAATAGATATCCTCAACAACATGTTTCAAGTAAATGAGATTTACATATTTGAACTATTAAGTAGAAAATATATACTATTAATATAATGTCTAAAACATTATATATTTTTAATAATATATTAATTTTTAAAGCAAAGTTAATTTATTGCCCAAAATTTTTTTTCCAATAACCATTCCCTCTATTGATTTAACCCCTATTTCCATAACGACCCCCACCACCACCACCATTGCCGTAACGGCCGCCGCCTCCTCCTCCATATCTACGTCCACCTCCACCTCCACCGCCGCCATATCCACGATTGCCACCGCCGTAACCTCTATTACCTCCACGACCTGAAAGTTATACAAAAAATAAATAAATAATATATTTTATTAATTAAAAAACTATTAAATAATTTATTTTAAATAATTAATTTTTTTTATAAACAAAACAAAAAATAAATACTTAATATATTACTTACCATATTGACAATCAACATTGATTACGGCAAACATACCAATGATAAAACAGATTAAAATGACCGCAAAAATTATCTTGCTCATTTTGTTGTTGTTTATTGTTGTTGTTTAACAAATATATATATATATATGAATAATACAAAAAAACTATCTTGATAAAATAAATTCCTGATCAAATAGTTGTATATAATGTAATAACAATATCAATAAACTGGTTTAGTTTCAAGTTTGGGCTATTTATACTAGGTGATTATACATGTATAACCAGTTTATTATTATTATTATTATTATTATTATTATTACCCAACTACTATGTAAGATTATTACATTTATTATTATTATTATAAATAGTAAATACTATTATTATAATATAAAAATAAAATTGTTCAATGTTAATAAATATTATGCTTTAAAAATTTTTATATGATTTTTTCTTTATGCATGATTGCTAATCGATTTATTAAAATTTTATTTTAAAAAAAAAAAATTTAAAATACTATTTCAATAGTAAATGTTTTAAAAGGTAATATTGTTTTTAATTTATTAATTTTGCCATTAAATTTATCTTTTATTATCAATCATAATTATTGTAACTTTTAGTATTGTTTGCCAAATTTATGCTTTCAAAATGTAATAACAAGTAATAATAATAATAATAATAAAACATTGTTAAGTAAAATCCAAATTTAATCCAAAATTATTGTTATATAATTTATTAAAATAAATGTTTTGCTAATGATGAATATTTAAATAATAAATTAATATAATAGAAAATGTATTATATATTTATAAAAATAATGTTTTACTTTAACATGATAAATTACTATCTAAAAATATAATAATTATTAGTCAATATTTAAGTTTTAGTTGTTTTGATTTAAATATTTTTACTTTTTATCGTGTTTTTTGTACAGTAAAAGTATTTATACATGTTATTATTAATTTTTAATAAATATTATTATTTTACTGAATTAATTATAATATTAAAAACTAATAAAACTAAAACTAAAATTAAATTTTATGTTTTTATTGCAATAACTTATTATACTGTAGTATGACTTAAATTTCAAATATTAACTTAATTAGTTATAAAAATATATTAGTGTTTTTTAATTGATTATTTTAGTAAAATTAATTTAATAAAAAATCAAAAATATAAGTAGTAATTTTGTTTTTATTATTAAAATTAAGTAAACAATTTTTAAGTATACAAAATTTATTTGATCTGCAACATTTAAATTTGAGAAAATTAAAATTATGAATTATATGAATTATTAAATAAATGTTTGTCTAATTTTTTGATAATTAAAAACTAACAAATATTATACAAACAAAATGTTATATTTTGTAACAAAACAATTTTTTAAAAAAAAATCAATAATTAAAGTAGCATGTTCATATATTTTTTTAAAAAAATAACTATAATCAAGCTCAATCTATTAAATATTATGATCAACTTATTAGTTCATTTTTTTGTGAGTAAAACATTAGCCATAATATCTGCCATAACCTCCTCTTCTACCGTATCCATAGCCGCCATATCTACGACCGCCGTAACCGCCGCCATATCCTCCTCCATAACCGCCATAACCTCTACGGCCATAACCATAGCCTCCGCGGCCACCGTAGCCTATTATTAACAAATTTAAAAATTATTATCAAATTTAAAAATTATTAACAAATTTAAAAATTATTAACAAATTTAAAAATTATTAACAAATTTAAAAATTATTAACAAATTTAAAAATTATTAACAAATTTAAAAATTATTAACAAATTTTGATAATTAAGTAAATTTAAATAATAATAGGAAAGTAATATTTATTATTATTATTATTTTAGTTAAACTTACCATATTGGGCATCAACATTATATACGGCAAACATGCCAATAATAAAACATATCAAAATAGCCGAAAATATTAGCTTGTTCATTTTTGTTGTTGTTTTTTTCAATGGATATATTTCAGTAAATAATTTATCAAATATTTTTCAAGTGGTACTACACACTAGAATCATACACTTGCTTATGGTGTGTCCAGTTTACCTGACTGTCTCTATTTATAGTTGTCTTAATAGATACTGTTTTTGTATTTTTTTTAGATAAGAGAGAGATAGAGAAAGAGAGAGAGAGAGAGAGGAAGAGAGAGAGAGGGAGAGAGATAGATAAATAGATAGATAGAAAGCTTGAAATTCCCCACAAAAATATAGCTAATATTTGAAGTTTCAATAATATTTATACATAAAAGTACTGTACTATAACTACTACTACTACTACTATAAATACTAAAACTAATAATAATAATAATAATAATAATATTTTTTTATGGGGAGTTTGTTCAACAGTTGTTCTCACATTATATTATTATTGCTTATATTTTTTCAAATAATTTTGTGATTGTCATTGAAAATTTTGAGTTTATATATTTCAGTCAATGCAATAATATTTGTATAATAATATTGTAAAGTTTGCGAATACTATTTGAAGCAACAATAATAATCATAATAAAGTCAATTTAATTATCATTATTTTTTTAAAAAACAAATTTAATTGCTAATACAAAAATTTTATTATCATAAATATCTATTATAAACACATAAATTAAGTATAAATAAATAGTAGAAAAAAGAAATTTCGAAATAAGTAATTATAATATTTAATTAAAAATTTTGGAAAATACATTAAAATTAAATAAAAACTAATATTTAAAAATACTTTAGATTGTACCATCATCAATCTAATATACATAAAATAAAATATTTTTTTATTAGTGTGATAGTTGAAAATATATTTGTTTAATTATATTAATTAATTAGTTATTTATGTACTGTATATGTACTTTTAGATTGCTATACTAAATTTAAGATAATAGTTTATATGTTTGTCCAGGGTCATGTGATATTTTTGATTATTAAAGTAATTAAATATTTAAATATAATTGGAATAGATATTAAAATAAATTCATTTATATATGCATTTTTACAATTTTATAATTATATAAAATTTTAGTATTAGTTAAATATAATTATTATATAAACATAACTTTTCTTTTTATAAGTATTTAACAATTAGTGTAAATATTAATATTATGCTACTGTAAATAATAAACTATTATTAACTATAATATAAAAATTAATTATTTTTTGTTTTAGCAATAATTTTCAAGATTTTTCAACATAAAAACTATAGACAATAAATCCATCACTATTTTCTATTTACAGTATATATTATTGTCATATATTTATTGCAAACACAAATTGTATTATAAATGGTATTTTTATTGCCATATTTCCATAGAAAAAATTATCATTTATTAAATATTGAGAGGGAATTTCCATTTAAATAGTTTAATATAAAAATAACTTTTTACTATAAGCTATTGAGTTAGTGCTATATAATCTAATATATATATATATATAATTGTGTGAAAAAGAAACTTTGATATATTTACAAAAAAATATACATATATATAATTGTATATTACTTTTAGTCTATTATTATTATTATTATTAAAAAAAAGTTACAATGAAATGACAACAAAATGTAGTTAAACTTTTTGATATAAACATTTTGACATAATCATAATTTGCTAAAAAACGTGTAGTATTAAATACATTAAATTTAATATATATATATATATTTATACAAGGTCATCTATTTTTTTATATTTGTATTAAAGTCAAATATATATTTTAAAATAAATTTATTACATTTATTTATTGGGTTAATTATTGTTGATTTTATTGTTAAAAGTTTTAATATTAATCAATTATCTTTAATTATTTTCTATGTTTTATATTTAATTTGAAATATTATTACACATAGTTACTAGTTAGTTTAAAGTAATAAATAATATGCAGATAAATATTTTTTTAAAAATTTTATTTACAAAATCTATTTATATAATAAGTTATAAAAAATAAAAATAAAATTACATTATAATGTATTAATAGTTTATTTTTAATAAACAAAATTTTTATTTTGTTTCGCAATTATAATTACAATGTTTGTCAGGTTAAAAAAACATTATAATGATACAATATCAATTTATACATTACATTATTGTTACTATTATTATTATTATTACCTTATAATCATTATTATCTATACATTTGATACAAACGTATTTTATAACCTTGAATAAGGTTATATTTTGATAAACTTGATATATTATATATATAATTATTTTATCTATAATTTTACTAAAAACTACAACAACAAAAAATATGTTATGCTTATAATATAAACATTTATTTGTTGATTATTTTTTAATATGAATAAGCTTTATTATATAAATGGCTAAAGTATAAAATTTTAATTAAATAATAAAACTCATATTAACATAATAATTAAAACAAACAATTATTAAATATTAAATTTTATTTGTCATGCTAATTTATTAATATTAATTAAAAATAAAATCATAATTATTTAATATAATTTACTAATCAGAATATAGTTATCATTTATCCACAGAAAATAAAATTATTGATAATTTATTGATAGATTATACACAAAATAAAAATTACATTTCATTAATAAATTTAAAATAAAACTTAATATTAAGCGTTTCTAACAAATTTTTAACATTTATTTATTATTTATATTACATATTTAATTTTATATTTATTAAACAAATTTTATTTGTATATTTTTTAATAAATTAATCATGAATAATACTAAAAACATAATTAGTCTTGATGAAATGAAATCATTTATGACCCGAGCACTGGTATCAGTAGGCAGTGACCCCCAACACGCGGCACAGTTAGCTGAACTACTGGTTACAGCTGATTATCGTGGTCATTTTAGTCATGGACTAAATAGACTAGGTAATTATATAATATACAATTATTTTTTATATATTATATATTATACTGTGTATTTATATTATAGATTTATATATTTATGAAATCAAGTCAAAGATAGCCAGATCTCATGGCAATCCAATTATATTAAAAGAAAGTACAGCCACGGCATGGGTCGATGGGAACAACCTGTTAGGTCCAGTAGTCGGTATGTTTTGCATGGATTTGGCCATAAATAAAGCAAAACAGTGCGGCATCGGTATGGTATCAGTTAAAGGTATAGTAGATTAACATTACATAAAAAATGTGTGCATTTATTTACATTTGTAAATTTTTTATAACCTAATACACAAAAAATAGATAGTTACTATTTATTTATTTATAATTTAAATTATTAAACTAGAATTTAGTTTAGTTTTAATTTGAATTTGAATATCTTGCACAAACTTCAATATAAATATTTAAAAAAAAAACTACATTACAGTTATTGTATTCATTAATAATTAACAAAATTAAGTATATATATAATACTATACATATAAACTAAATATTAGTTGTTTAGTGAAATTTATAGTGTAATAAACTTAAAATTTTATACTATAAAAAAATACTTAATTTTTTACTAAATAGGTAGTAATCATTTTGGAATAGCTGGATACTATAGTATGATGGCATTGAAACATGATTTACTTGTATGTAATTTTTATTTATTATTTTCAATTATTATTTTATCTAGGTAAAACTTAATTTCTAAAATAAATATAAACTCATAAGTTATAAATTAATTATTATTATCAATAATTATCAATAGGGTATGTCATTTACTAATGCAACACCAATAGTAGTACCCACTCGTGCTAAACATCCGTCAATCGGTACAAATCCGATATCGGTGGCCGCACCGGCACTTAACGGTGATAGTTATGTACTGGACATGGCCACTACGGCAGTGGCCAAGGGTAAACTGGAAATACAAGACCGTAAGGGAGAGCCCATACCAGAGGGCTGGGCTATTGACCGAAATGGGCAACCATTGGACAAAATGGACAATTTTTATGCACTCTTACCGCTGGGCGGCAGCGAAAAGTCAAGTAATATATATTTTTTAAAAATAAAATAATATTTTTATTGTAAACTTATGCTAATAAGTTAATATAGGATACTATTATTATAAATGTTATTATTTGTTATTTTTTTTAACGAGAGTATAGGTGGCTATAAAGGGTATGGACTGTCAATGATGGTTGAACTCATGTGTGGAGTACTATCGGGTGGTCTGTACGGACCGACAATACGTGAACATTCAACTAGTATGGAGCCGATGAACTTGGTAATTTTTTCAAAATTTAATTTTCAAAAAAATAAATCGATATCACCCACTAAGTTTAATGATAAAAATTAACTAAATAAAAAATATAATTATTAATAATTTAATTAATAAAATTAGAGTTTTTTAAGATTAGAAAATATTTTTTCTATTGAAAAAAAATAATTATTAAAAAATTTGTTATTTATATGTCTTTTATAATTTTTTCAGAGTCATTGTTTTATAGCTATAAATCCAGCATATTTTGCACCGGGATTTGAGGGACGGCTAGAAAATTTGCTAGACATGTGTCGCAATCAGGAACCAGTAGACGGACAGCTGGACGTAATGGTTGCCGGAGATCCTGAGCGCCAACACATTCAACTGTGCGACTCATTGGGTGGTATACCCTATCATATTAAACAAGTAGAGTTTGCGGTAATAATTTTAAGCTTAAAATAATATTTTATTATTAATTATTTTATTGATTATTAATTAATTTTTCTTTAATAATAATCTATAATAGTTTCAAATAGCTGATTCACTTGGTATTAATCGACCATTGGTTATTGAAAAATAATTTTTAATATATATTGATATTTATATACATAATATGATAAATATAAAATTAATTTTTTATTTACAACAATAACACCAACAACGAAAACTAACAATAAATATATTAAGTAATTTATTATAACAAGTTTTATTAAATTTTTTATATATATATTAATTTTAAAAAAAAAGTATACTGTGTTTAATCCTATTTATATTATTATAAATCTAAAATCTGTAAATAATATAATTAGTGGGAAATAATTAATTAATAAGAATTAATTTTTATAATTATATTTCCAAATTAATAATTCATTAATTTGAACACAGTATACACAATATGAAAATATTAATTAACTTATAAATTTAGTATAAATAATATACATTAAATTTATTACAGTTTTTAAACTATGCATATATTTCTATATGAATTATTAAACATAATTTTATAATTTATTTTGGATTTTTGTTAATTTTTTATAAAATATATTATTTTTTTTAGTTATGCTTTTATTATGCAAACTAATAATTAAATTAATTTTAAAATACTAATATTATTGTTATTAAAAATTATAGTTATATTAAGTCATATTATTTATGTTTTTATTATTATTAATAACTAAATTATTACTAGTAAATCATATTAATATTAATCACCAAAAACTAACAATAAATATATCAAGTAATTTATTATAACAAGTTTTATTGATGACTATTTAATTTATTATTATTTTAATAAAAATATACTGTGTTTAATCATATTTGCAATTGAAGTGTTTGTTCAGATATTTTAGTTTTTTAATTGCTTTTATAAATCTCTTAAAGATTTATAATGATATTTCCAAATTAATATCAATTTGAACACAGTATACAATTAAATAAAAAGCTAATTTACATAAATATTTAGTATAAAAAATAAGCATTTAATTAATTACAGTTTTTTTAACATAATGGATATATATATATTTCTTAATAAATCATTAAAACATAATTTATAAGTTATTTTTAGATTTTTATTAATAACTAAATTATTACTAGTAAATTATATTAATAGATTTAAATCATAAATAAATAAGTTATTTTAATTGTTTAATTACACTTTGATTTAATATTGTATAAGTAGTTAATAATTTTTATAAATTATTAACTATTTATTAAATTTATAAATATAACAATATATATATTTTAGTAAACTTAAAAAAATTAGTGAATAATTTAATTTATGTACAGAAAAAATATAGACGTTTAATCAAAAATTTTAATAATATAGTATTGTTAAGTATAGTATAGTAAATAATAATATAGTATCATTTTTTATATAATTGGAGTACAGTAAACGTTAGTATAAATAACAATAATATCTAATCATTGTTTTCTAGTAGTAAATACAAACAAACAATAAAATTAGATAAATTTTTTCACATTGTGTTAAGCAATAATTAATTATAAATTGAATTTTAATACAATAATAAGCAGACATGTTTTTTATATAATAAATAAAAATAATATTATTTAAATTATTTATCGCAATTTTATTTTAGAAAATAAATAATTTTTGTAAATAAATTAATATTTATTTATAATGTTAATAATGATCGATAAAACTTATAATATCAACTAATAGTTAGACAAACAAATAATAATAACAACAATAATAATGTCAATAATAATAGACATGAAAGAGTTGGACTCTATGCCAATACACAGAAACGCCAGTAAAGTGTGTCTGAAAACCGGATCAAACTCGAGCATCGGTAGTAAAGACACCATCGGTGAGGACGACGATGACGTGGCGTCGGTATTGTCTGAAGTGGACATCGAAAACATCGGTAAAGACGGTCCATACTATCATATGATTCGTCGCATACTATATCCGTTTGCATTGACCGGTGCGCCCATTGTCTACTGTCTCCGGCGTCCAGACAAACCGTTTACATACCTCAGTCGACACGGATTGCTAAATGTATGTACAGTTATACAATATATTTACCGTATATGTGTTATTAGATTTAATCTATTATTTATTTTAGCAAATTTATCTAAAAACTCTATTAGTTGTTTAGTATATATTGTTTATGTAAAACAAACAAAAAAAATATATGTTTTATTTAAAAATTATAAAACTATACATATTTAACAACAACAAAATTATTTATAGTGTATACAGTATTTTAATCCACCAAAGTTTAGGAATAGGTTAGGTTAGGTTAGATATATGTCCATCAAATAGATCACAGAATTAGTAAATAAATATATGATTTATTATAGCTAAAATCGATTTACGATTTATAATGATATACATAACGAGTATATCATAACAAATTACTGTATACACTATAATATTAAAACATTTATTTATCAATGTATATAATGAATATAAAATATATCCAATTAATTTATTCCAGTTTTTAAATTTAAAAAATACAATAATTATTTTATTATACTATATATATATATATATATTTGATATACTTTTATTTATTTATTTTTTGTAAATATCTTTTAGATATATTCAATAATAATGGGTATACTAGTGCACAGTATATGTCTATTTTGGTTATACCGTGTTTTCTATCATATTGTGGCAGTGGGTCAGCTCAGTGATCAATTATGGGACGAAATATTTACATTTATCTACAGTCTGGTGGGTGTGTGGGCACTGGACATGGGTTGGATCTATAGGAAACAATTGCGTCAATTGATCCGTGGATTGGATCGGACGCCACATTTAGACCAAACAGTACTAATGCATTACAAATACTTTCATTGGAAATATCAGTTGAAACTGACGTTTTTGACATTTTTTGTTATATCACTACTCATATTGTGTGTCGTCTATATTGTTGTACTAATTTTTATGGCAATCAATACCCGTCATAAACCCCGTCCTATACTAACCGATCCCATGTTTACATTTGTAACACTGTATTCACTATATGTAGTATTGTTTGTTATGGTCCTCTATATAGCCTTGTGTTGGATAATGAAGTTCCGTTTCGAACACTTGAACTTTTATGTACAGACACTAACCAAACGTCAGGTTAAACCTGAACTCAAGCACCTGGAGATTGTCAAACAATGGTAAGTCAATCAATACGTTTTTTTAGCAATAAATTTATTTTATTAAATAATACTGTATCTTTTAAGCAAATTTTTTAAGCGATATTTTTAAAAAAAAATATCTTACTATTAGTTATGAATGATTAGCACATAATTAACCTAAATATGTGTTTTATTTGTTAATTTATAATTATTTAGATTATTTTTAACGATTTATAAATATATATATTTTTTTTAATTATGGCATTTATCGTTTTTTTAAATATGATATTAATTAGTCAATATTAAAAGTTAATTTTTTATGTTATTTTTTTAGATAACTGTAAAGTTTATTTCATGATATAACTAATAACTAATTAAGTTAAGCAATCTATTAATATAATAAAATTGTAAATTTTATTAGGAAATAGATTATAATAAATATATTAAAATTAAATAATTTTTATATTAGGAGGATTTTGATAAAACCATTTATTAAAATTACTTTTATATAATATTATAAAAATAATTCAAATATTAAATCTTCATAAAAACAGGTATAAAGAAAATCTTGATAACGTCGACAAAATCGATCAAATATTTAATGGTTTTATATTTGCATATTTTGTATTTCTATTTTTCGGTATAATTGTTGAAATCGGGGATCTGTTGGCATTGTTTAATAATAATGCCAATAATACTGACAAAAGTCAAGTGATATCCACTTTGATTGTCATAACATTGATGTTGTTTTCAATGTTTTATACAATCAAACAGACATCCGATGTTACCGATCAATCCATGAATACCGGGAAATACCTGTTCGAGTATGTCTTGGCTACCGATCCGTCAGATAGAAGTCAATTATATACTAATGAGGTATTATTATTATATAAATTTATATAATTATTTTTATTTTTATTGATTGTATATTTTTTAGATGCAATTAATAGCATCGGGTCTACTATCAAACAGTGCTAACCTAACACTGTTTGGTTTAGTCAATCTGAACCGTGATTTTATGGCACAGGCAGTTGTTTTTCTCTACACTATTGCCATACTATTCAATGAACTGATGTTTGTCGCCAAAGAGGATAACCTACACATTAGAAATGTTACACATATTTTAGCCAATAATATTGATATATAAATTAGGTTTTTTTAATAATTAAATATTTCAGTTATACATATAATTCATTTTAAATAACACACATATAAATGATATTTCATGAAATGACATTCATTCAAATAAAATATAATAATTTTTATATATTGTATTTTAATTTATTAAAATTTTTAATAAAAGTAAATTTAACTTTATTTTTATGTTAATGTCATGATATGATAATAATTTCACTCATAATAAACAATTGATTTGGACTCTAAAAGAAACGCCAGTCAAGTATTTCTCAATACCAGGTCTAACATAAGCACCGGTAGTAAAGACATCATCAGTCATGTGTTGTCGTTATTATCTGAAGTGGACATCGAAAACATCGGTAAAGACCATCACATGATTCGTCGTTTGCATTGACCGGTGCGCCCATTGTCTACTGTCTCCGGCGTCCAGACAAACCGTTTACATATAATAATTACTATAGTTTTTTATATGGACCGTCATCCCTGTCCTTACATACCTGAGCTCAATTAGACAAATAGTTGTGAATAAAATATTTTTTGGTCAATTCATATTCAATCTAAAGATCTTATTCACCAATTTTTTGATTTGATTGTATATATGTTTTGTTAGATTTTTGTTTACTGTAATATATTTTTTTAACAACTAGTTTATCTATTTGTCTAATATTAAATATAGAAATTTTATTATAATATCATTTAACAAAAAAAAATAATAATAAAATAATAGTGTATACAGTGTTTTAATCCGAGTTTAAGCCGTTTTGAAACCGATTATATGATCGCAATTTTCTTTTAATCTAATCGTATAAACATTGTTTTAAATGTAGACCAGTTGATGATATTTTTACACATTATTTTATTATATTATAAGCCAATTATAAACCAATAAACAATTTATAATGATATTCATAACGAAAATATCATAACAACTTACTGTATACACTATATATGTATTAACAATAGTTTATCAATGTATAAATTGTGTATTAAATATATTCAATTAATCGATTACAGTTTTTGAATTGAATTTGTATTTTTGTATTAAACTAGATTTTTGTTGTTGATATAGTTTTATTTATTTTTAAAAAATATATAATTCAGATATATTAAATAATAATGGGTATACTAGTGCACAGTATATGTATAATTTGGTTATACCGTGTATTTTATCATATATTATCATATTTTAAAAAAATTATTTGCTATTTATTTGTTATTTAATATTAATAACAGTTTTAAATATATAATAATTTCTAATTATATCATTTACCATTTTATAATAAATCAGTATTTTTTTAAAAAAGTTTATAAAAAATAATAGTTTAGATAACTGTAAAAATTTATAAATATATTAACTACTATAACATTATATACTGTATTCATAGATTTCTTACAAAAAAAAGTTAAGTAATATTATTTTTCTATCAATTTACAAACTTTTTAAATATAATAATTAATTATTAATTTGTTTTTATAACTTTGTTATATCAGTTTATAAGTTTGTATAATAATTTTGTTATATCATTTAACATTAAAAATAAATAAATAAAAAATAGTGTATACAGTGTTTTAATCCGAGTTTAAGCCGTTTTGACACAGATTGTCAACTAATTCCAAAATTGATATTTACTGTATTATTAGCTAATTATAAAACAATAAATAATTTATAATGATATTCATAACGAAAATATCATAACAACTTACTATATACACTATATATGTATTAACAATAGTTTATCAATGTATAAATTGTTTATTAAATATATTCAATTAATTAATTACAGTTTTTTTTGGAAATATTATGTATTTTTGTATAAAACTAGATTTTATGTTATAGATATAGTTTTATTTATTTTTAAAAAAATATATAATTCAGATATATTTAATAATAATTGGTATACTAGTTAGACTGACCACCCAATTTATTAGTAAACCTGTATAATATAATAAAATATATGAATTTCACCTGTATTTTCCTTTATATTAAATATTATATTCCTGTATATTAACTTGTATTTAAATAACTATATAAATTAGGAAAAATTAAATTTAAATATTATAATTACATAAAAAGATGAAATTTAGTTTTCTATTTTGAACATGTAGAACTTTATTTTTATAAAATTTTAATTTTTTTAAATTTATTTTATATATTTAAACTTTATATCAAAAATACAAGCAATTTTTATTAACAAATTTTACCTAAATAGTTATTTTATACTTTTATTTAATAATTAGTTTCACATATTTTAAAACTGTATATTATATTATACAGGTTAGCCCCTTTCCTGTCACCTGTATTAGACCCTAGATTCCTGTATAATACAGGCGGCACCTGTATGGGTGGTCAGTCTAATACTAGTGCACAGTATATGTATAATTTGGTTATACCGTGTATTTTATCATGTATTATCATATTTTAAAAAATTATTTGTTATTTAATATTAATAACTGCTTTAAAATATAATAATTTCTAATTATATTATTTACCATTTTATAATAAATCAGTATTTAACAAGAAAGTTTATAAAAAATAATAGTTTAGATAACTGTAAAATTTATAATTATATTAACTACTATAACATTATATACTGTGTTTATAGATTTATTACAAAAAAAAGTTAAGTAATATTATTTTTCTATCAATTTACAAACTTGTTAGATATAATAATTAATTATTAAATTATTATTTTTTATACTTAATATAATTATAAATATAAGATTATAAGTTGATATCAAAAACATCGACATAGACGTCCCAACTATCATTGCATTGACCGGTGCGGCCATTATCTACTGTCTCCGGCGTCCAGGCAAACCGTTTGCATACCTGAGCCGACTGAGGATTGCTGAATGTATATATCGGTATACAAAAAAATGCAAAAATAGTGTATACAGTGTTTTTAATCTACATTTTGAAGTCTTCTATCTATTTAATTACAATATTATTATATAATATAACACAATCACAAATAAATCACATAAATAATAATGATAGTAAATTGATTTAATTTTAGCTAATTATAAACCAATAAACGATTTATAAATGATATTTAATGAAATATCATAACAATCCACTGTATACACTATACATATTATTAATATTTTATTAATATATAAATAGAGTTTTAAAAATTTATAATTATTTTATTACAGTTTTTATTTATAGTAAAAAATTATTTATAACACGCATTATAATTTATAATACAATTGTCTATCGGTATAATACTGTACATTTTTAATATAATATAAATATAATATTTAATATCATTTATATATCATATATATTTTTATTATAATGTGTATAGTATACACAGTATACACTGTATACTAGTGCACAGTTTATGTCTTTTTTTTTGGTTATACCCTGTATTTTATCATATTGTGACAGTGTGTCAGCTCAGTGATCAATTATGGGACGAAATATTTACATCTATATAGAGTTTGGTGGGGTTTGTGGGCACTGGATATTGTTGTATAAAAAATAATTATATAATACATACTAAATAATTATAAAAAGAAATTATAACTATCAATACATATAATTGCATAATATTTGATTAAAACAAAAAATAACAAAATTAACAAATATAATATTTTATCTAATTTGCACAGTATATTAAATTAAATTATTGTATTAGTTGCTAATTATTTAAGCTAGTTTATACCAAAATTATGTTTAATATATTATTAATAATAGTTTATTTGTAAACAATGTTTTTTTGTTAAAACAGTAATTTGATTGTAAAACTATGGAAAGTTAACAATAATAGAAAATTATAATAATTAATATTAAAATTAAGTAAGATTTATAAATTATAGATTTGATAATTTAAAAATTTTTTTATTTCTAAATATAAAATTCAAAATCAAGAAATCTTCAAAGACAAGCTTTAAGTTTATTAAATTATAAAACTTTATAATTTAATTACTTTAGAAATATTTTATTACAGTTTATTTTTAAAAATAAAAATTATGGCATTGCCTTAACTGCGGTGAGACATGGGAAGCTTGCGGTCAGTAATTATCTCGAGAACCAGTGGTCAGATCTTGCGGTCAAACATATAAAAGTTGTTGAGAATAAAAAGTTAGGAACTTAGGTCCACTTCAAAAAAATTTAGGTCTAATATTTCCTAATTTTTTATTCTCAAAAACATTTATATGTTTGACCGTAAGATCTGACCAACGGTTCTCGAGATACACCCTGACCGCCACTATTTTTTAATAAAATTTAGGATTTATTTTTTTTGTGGGACCCCTGGTAGTCCTAAAATTTTTTCAAGTGGACCATATTTCCTAACTTTTTATTCTCAACAACTTTTATATGTTTGACCGCAAGATCTGACCACTGGTTCTCGAGTTAATACCTGACCGCAACTTTTTTAATGCAAAATTTTCATGTTTTATTTATTTTGTGCGCCCCCTGGTGGACCTAAATTTTTTTGAAGTGGACCTAAGTTCCTAACTTTTTATTCTCAACAACTTTTATATGTTTGACCGCAAGATCTGACCACTGGTTCTCGAGATAATTACTGACCGCAAGCTTCCCATGTCTCACCGCAGTTAAGGCAATGCCAAAAATTATAAATCTAAGCAATAGTTTGAAAACCCAATTAGTTTTGGGTTAAGTTAGGCTAATATAAAACTGTTAAAAAGTTAATTACATCCGACTGTTTAAATTACATTAAAAAATATTAGTCAGAGGCGCAAATTATCTGGCTAGTTTTACATTAATTAAAAAAACTAATCAATTACATTTTTTAGACTCTTCCTAAATATAATAAATATAATCTATATATTAAAAACTTAATTAAATATGATTTTATTATTAGAATTTATTTAAGTTATAATATTAAAATGATATTAAAAATTTTAATTTATATAATAAGAAATAAATAATAACAATTATAATTATATTTATTGTAATTATAATAACTAATAACTTTTATATAATTAGCAGTAATAAGTTATAATAATAAAAACTAAATGTGTTTTTTGTTGTTTATATGTTATATACTTTGTTTGACATTTTTTACAATGAATTAAACAATTATATGACAATATATTTTCTTTATTTTTGTTAATTTTCAATAAATTAAAATTTTGATTACACATACATATACATACTTAAAATATAATCAGTTATAATCTATATTAAATAAACAATATTTTAATGATTAAAATTACAGTTTTTTAATTGAGTAAAATAAAACTAAAATATTTATTTTTTTTAATATTTATTATTTTCAGAGTCATTGTTTATGCTTTAAAATAATATTTTTACTCTAATAAAAGTATTAAATAATTTTAAATTAGTAACAATAATCTATTAAATATATGCATAGATTTGTTTGTATCATTATTTTAAGTATTTAATTATATTATTTTTTCTTAATAATAAAAATAATAATAACATTTTTAAATAAAAATTACTGATTAAATTTTGTTATAACTTTTAAATTATTAGTTAAACAATTTATTTTTAGCTAATAAAAATTCATATGTTTTAATCAAAACTTTAATTGATTTATTAACATATTGTATAAACTAAATTAAATTATAGTTTACATTTACTGTACATTATAAGTTCATATATGCTTTTATTATTTTATTATTGATTTTATTAAATTACAGTTACTTAATATATTGTATTTGTCCTTGATTATTTAATTAAACATCAATATATCAAATCATCGATTACTAATACTGATTTCTATAAATAAAAATCAAATAAATTTAGTGATAATTTTTTCTGATGTAATAATATATATTTTTTGTAAATGAATAAAATAATAAAAAAGTTGTGTATATAATTTTTTATATTTATTTGTGTGTATTAATGTTTTTTAAGTTTATAAAAAATCATTTAGTTAAATATAAACAAAATAATTATTACTACAACGGTATGTAACTTAAATATTTATTAAATAGTAGACAATAATATAATAAAACAAATAGTTATTTAATTTAGTTTTATTTTTAAATTGATTACAAATATTAGTTTGCAATTAAAAAATTCATCAAGGTTTAATTTATTTTAAATATAATATTGAAAAATATGATGTTATTTATAAAAATCTTTATAATTAGCATTTGTTTTATCACTAAAGTAAATATGACGACAACGACAACAAAAACAACAACATTGTTAAACATTGCCGATATTGAAGCCGAAGCCAATCGGCTTATGGAGCCCGGGATCAGAAGTTATCTCAACGAAGGTGTGCTCAACAATGAGACACTGGAGGCCAACATTGATGCGTTCAAATGGTTGCGCATACGGCCCCGGTATATGGTGGACGTATCACAGCGTAACCTAAGTGTCAAAGTGGTCGGCGGCGATACCATACCGATGCCGATAGCAGTGTCGCCATTTGGTCTGAACAAACGTTTTCATCCGGACGGCGAGTTCGCAACCGGCAAAGGTTAGCCTATTTTTGTTTTGTTTAGTCAAATATATTTTGACCAGAATATACTGTATATAAATATATTATTTTTTTTAAATAATACTTTATATTATCAATAGGTATTCGTCAAAAGGGCACAGTTATGATTGTTAGCAGTGGGTCTACAATATCAATTGAAGAGTTGGCCACTGCCGAACCCGATCTAATCAAATGGTTTCAGATGTTTATATATCGTGACCGTAATATGACAATTGATTTGGCTCAGCGAGCAAAACAAGCAGGTTTTCGGGCACTGGTACTGACTGTAGATCATAACAAAATGGGGCTCAGGTATCACAATGAGAAGAATAAGTACAGTGACGCTTACGGCAGAGCCAACTATAAGCCGTATAATGTTCCCGGACTGACCAAAGATGTGGCCAAAGATACGACTTGGAAGGACATCCAATGGATAAAGAACGAGATCGGACTACCCATTGTTATCAAAGGCATAGTTACGGCTGAAGACGCCCGGCTGGCCGTCAATAACGGTGCCGATGCTATACTAGTGTCAAATCACGGCGGACGACAATTAGACGGATCGCCGGCTACTGTAATGAATTGCTATAATATATTATTATTATAAGTTAACAGTCTGTGTGTCTTTGCTTTCAATGTCATACATGCAGTTGGAAGCGCTTCCGGAGATTGTGGAAGAGGTTGGCCGTGAGGTAGACGTCTATATGGACGGCGGTGTCCGTACCGGTGCCGATGTGTTCAAAGCGTTAGCCATTGGCGCCAAAGTTGTGTTTGTTGGTCGACCCGTGTGTTGGGGACTCGTATGCAATGTTTGTATAATTTTTTATTTTATATAATTACTGATTTTATTGATTAAAAAATATTTATTTGTGTTTATTGTGTTTAGGGCTCCGATGGTGTCAAACAAGTGTTGGACATTTTGCACAATGAATTAGACAATTATATGACAATTGCCGGCACACCCACTGTCGGGGATATTACTAGAAATCATGTCCGATATGTTAATCATTATCGCAATAATTTAAAGATATTAACAAAATAATACATATATACGTATAAGAGTAACAAAAAAATATTTGTTTTATGATTTAATAACTTATAAGTTAGAAATTGCAAATATGTTATTAAACTCAAATAAACTATAAGTTTAGTTTAATAAAAATTATTATTAAAGTTTATTTGATTAAAACATATTACAAAATATAACCAATTGAAACATTAACTACTGTATTATAATGTATTATAATATTGAGTATTTTAACTTTATTAGTACAATAAAATAAAAAATAAATATAATATTTTATTTAATTAAAAAATATTTAGTTAAAGTTTTAAAGTTCAAACTATAATTGTAACTACATGTTAAATAAATAATTTTAGTATAAAAATTTTTATTATATTTAATTATAAAACTTTTTAGTTTAAAAAGACAATTTAAAAATATTTAATTAAGGTTTTATAAAAATTTTAATTAATTAAGTGATTGAAAAAATAATAAATTATTTACTTTGAAAATTTATATAATAAACTTAATAATAATAAACTAAAAAGTAAATTGAAAAAATAAATATTTAGTATATTAATTGACTTTTTACTCTAATTTAAACAATTAATCAATAAAATGATAAATCAAATTGTTTATTTAATATTTTTGATATACAATGTACCGGTACATACATTATATAGATTATGTATGATTTAACTTAAAAACATAAACAATATCTATTTTTAAAAAAATGACACCAATACAATTATCTAAACATTTATTAAACATTACCGATATTGAGGCCGAGGCCAGTCGACTTATGGAGCCCGGACTCAGAAGCAATGTAAATGATGGGGTGCTTAACAATGAGACACTGGAGGCTAACGTCGATGCTTTCAAACAGCTGCGTATACGTCCCCGATATATGGTGGACGTGTCACAGCGTGACCTAAGTGTCAAAGTGGTCGGCGGCGATACTATACCGATGCCGATAGCAGGTTCGCCATCAGCTTTGCACAAACGTTTTCATCCGGACGGCGAGTTCGCAACCGGCAAAGGTTAGCCAAATTTTTTTTTTGTGAAAACATTTTAGTTTTCAAATATATATTTTTTTGTTTATTAAATTATCTGTAAAGGTATTCGTCAAAAGAGCACAGTTATGATTTTGAGCAGTTATTCGTCGATTACTATCGAGGAGTTGGCCGCTGCCGAACCCGATCTAATCAAATGGTTTCAAATGTATATATATTGTGATCGTAATATGACTATAGATTTGGCTCAGCGAGCAAAACAATCGGGTTATCGGGCACTGGTACTAACTGTTGACTATACCACACGAGGTCGCAGATATCATGACATTAAAAATCAATTCAAAAACATTTACCCAAAAGTCAACTATAATAGGTATAATGTTTCCCAACTAAGCAAAGTTGTAGCAAAAGACAACGTTTGGCGAGATATCCGGTGGTTAAAGGAGACGACAGGACTGCCGATTGTCATCAAAGGCATACTGACTGCTGAAGATGCGAGACTGGCTGTAGATAACGGTGCCGATGCTATATTAGTGTCCAATCACGGAGGACGACAATTGGACGGATCACCGGCTACTGTAATAATATTATTATAAAAACTAAATCATATTTTTAATGTAATACTTGTAGTTGGAAGCGCTTCCCGAGATAGTCGAAGCAGTTGGCCGTGAAGTTGACGTCTATATGGACGGCGGTGTCCGTACCGGTGCCGATGTTTTCAAAGCATTAGCCATTGGCGCTAAAGTTGTGTTTGTCGGTCGACCCGTATGTTGGGGACTCATATGCAACGTTAGTATAATTTAATTTTAATTTATTAATTTTAATATTTAGAATAATAAATAATTTTTAAACTTTTTGTTTTATAATAATTTTTGTTATTTTTAATTTAGGGTTCCGATGGTGTCAGACAAGTGTTAGACATTTTGTACAATGAATTAGACAATTATATGACAATTGCCGGCACACCCACTGTCGGGGATATTACTAGAAATCATATCCGATATGTTAACGATTATCGCAATAATTTGAAAATACTAACAAAATGATAATAATTTATATTTATAGTAATAAATATTTTGTAAAATTAATAGTTAGAAATTACTTATTTTTATTAAATAAATTAATAATCTAACAAAAAATAATTTAATATATAAAAATATATATAATTGAATAAATACTTATATCAATTAATAATCATTACGACAATAATTAAGACATAATTATGACAAAATATTAATAATACTAATCTAACTTTAACTAAACAAAATCAATTATTAAAAAAGTAAAATTTAATTTTATGATTAAATAAATTATTTATTATAAATCACTTACAGTTATAAGTTTTAAATATAAAGTAAACAAATTATTTACTAAAAATATTTAATATAATTAATTCATTAAAATTAGATAATAATATAATAAAATAGAATAATTTGTTTTTAATTATAAATTAAAACATTTTATTATCTTACATAAAATTTAACTATAATTAAACTTAAAAAAAAGTATAATAAATTTTATTAAAAAATGATTTTATATATTAAATACAGTTAATAGGTTATTACAAGTTTCAACATTATCTCTCATATTTCTTAATTAAACTATAAAAGTATTATAAATCTAAATTAAAATCAGTTTAATTAATTACAGCAAAAATTTATATTTTAAATATTTATGTATTTTTTAAAAATAAAAAATTTATATTTTTATTACTAACTTTAATTAAAATGTTAGAATAAAATGATTGACAAATTGTTTATAAAAATAAATATTTAGATAAAAATATATATAAATTTATATATATATATATAGCGATATTAATAAAATAAAAATTATTGAAAAAATTTATTATTAGTATCTATGATTCAATAAAAAAAATCATGACATCAGCACAAGTATCTAAAAAATTGGTTAACATTGAGGATATTGAAGCCGAAGCCAATCGGCTTATGGAGCCGGGAGTCAAGAGTAACGTAAATAATGGTGTGCTTAACAATGTAACACTGGAGGCCAATCTCTATGCGTTTAGACAGCTGCGGATACGACCCCGGTTTATGGTAGACGTGTCCGACCGTAACCTAAGTGTCAAAGTGGTCGGCGGCGATACCATACCGATGCCGATAGCAGTGTCGCCATCAGCTTTACACAAACGTTTTCATCCGGACGGCGAGTTCGCGACCGGCAAAGGTTTAACATTTTTTTAATGATAATTGTTAGTTTTATTTGTTGTATATTTATTAATGTATTTTTTTAATTAATTTTACAGGTATTCGCCAAAAAAATACAATTATGATTGTCAGTAGTTTTTCGTCAATTACTATCGAGGAGTTGGCGGTCGCCGAACCCGACCTAATCATGTGGTTTCAAATGTTTTTATGTCGCGATCGTAATATGACTATTGATTTGGCTTTGAGAGCTAAACGATCGGGTTTTCGGGCACTGGTACTAACTGTAGACTATCCCACAGCATCACTTAAATATCATGATATCAAAAGTCAATATAATTATGTATATCCTATAGTCAACTATAATCCTTATAATGTTAGCGAACTCAACAATTTTGTTGCAAAAGACTGTATTTGGAAAGATATCCAGTGGTTAAAGGAGACAACAGGCCTACCGATTGTCATCAAAGGCATACTGACCGCTGAGGATGCAAGACTGGCTGTAGATAACGGTGCCGATGCTATACTGGTGTCTAATCACGGCGGACGACAATTGGACGGATCGCCGGCTACTGTAATAATGTTTTCCAAAAAAAACTAATTGATATATAAGATAACTATTTCTATGTTTATACGTGTAGTTAGAGGCTCTTCCGGAGATAGTGAAAGAGGTTGGCCGTGAAATTGATGTCTATATGGACGGCGGTGTCCGTACCGGTGCCGATGTGTTCAAAGCGTTAGCCATTGGAGCTAAAGTTGTATTTGTTGGCCGACCCGTGTGTTGGGGACTCGTATGCAATGTTTGTATAATTTTCTATTTTATTGATTTGTTATTTACTGATTCTATTGATTAAAAAATATTTATTGATTTAATGATTTTTTTAAGGGTTCCGATGGTGTCAAACAAGTGTTGGACATTTTGCACAATGAATTAGACAATTATATGACAATTGCCGGCACACCTACTGTCGGGGATATTACTAGAAATCATGTCCGATATGTTAATGATTATCGAAATCATTTAAAATCAATTTTATAATAATAATAATTAAAAATTAGCTTTTAAGTATCAAATTTATCTGATTTTTAGTATTGTTTAAAAAATAATAATAAACTATATATGTGAAAATTTATTAAAATTTTAAATATCTAATCATTTTATGACTTTATAATTTTTTAAAACTCAATTTAATTATGATAATTTTTAATTTAATTTATTTATTATAATGTGCTTTTTTATTTAATTTTAAAATACATAAATAATTACTTGTTTACAAACTATTCAAACTATATTATCAAATAATAATATTATATGGTAAAAAAGTTATTACAAATATGATATTACAAAATTATTAGAAAAATAATAAAGTTAACAAGTTCATTAATGTAAATTATTTTTTTAAACTCAAGTTTTTTGAATCACAAATTATGCGCTTAAGTATTACCAGAAATGAATTAGCATTTTTATTTTACTTTATTATTAAGAAATTATATTATTATATAGCAATATAAAAATTTTATTAATACCATTGAACTTACATTAATTAAAAGTTCATTTGATTTGAATAATACATTTCATAATTTTAAATATATTAATATATATAATTTAATCAAAGGTTTAGCAAGAAATCAGAGGAGATTTTGGCCATTTACCCCCCACCCCAGCCTACCCTCACTTAAAATAAAATTTTATTAATTAAACATTATTGCCATAATGGAAAATACACAATTTTCAATTATAAAATAGAGACAATTTTTTAATAGTAATTTTTATAAAGCAATTATAAATTATTTATAAATTTTACATTTTAATTGCAAAATTATTGTTCATTTTTTTAAATTTTAGTTAAGATTAGTTAATTAAAAAGTCAAAAAAATATCCACAAAAATTATGGAATTTATTGATAATATTTTTGTATTTTCAAATAAATTTCCTTATATCTACATGGTAATTTTACGAATTTTGCAAATTAAAAAAAATCTAGACATTTTTTTTTAGATTTTACAATTAAAAAAAATCTGTTTAAAAATCTAATTTATATTACATAATAATTTTTTGAGGTTTTTATTATTCAATTTTATCCTAAACCCCTCCTAAAATTCAAAACATTGCTTAACCCTTAATAAATTAATCTATATAAATGTTTTATTTTGAACACATTATTATTATTATATACGATCTTAAAACAAACTTGATGATTTTTAAAAGTTATTATTCTATATATTATTTTAATTTCTAATAAAAATTATTGAATATTTATTGTATTTATTCTTTTTTTAATTAAAGTATTAAATAAGTTTATTATACATAATGTTTGAGTATTTTTCAAAGTTTATTTCTATAATTTTAATTTTTTATACAATTTTAATTAAGCAAGGTACAGTATATTTACAATTAAATATAAACTATTATTTAAAAAAAAATAATAAATAATATATTTACTAAAGATTTACCATGTGTCAATGCTACAAATACCAGTACTGGACAAAAATTGCTAAACATTGAAGATTTTGAAGCTGAGGCCAGTCGACTTATGGATCCTATACTCAGGGATAATGTAAATAGCGGTGTACTCAACAATGTGACACTTGAGGCCAATATCGATGCATTCAAACAGCTTCGGGTACGGCCACGGTTTATGGTTGATGTGTCAAAGCTTAACCTAACAGTTAGAGTGGTCGGCGGCGATATCATACCGATGCCTATAGCAGTGTCGCCATCGGCTGAACACAAACGGTTTCATCCGGACGGCGAGTTCGCAACTGCAAAAGGTTTCAAAATTTTTTTTGAGTCAATAGTTTTTTTTTAAAAAATATATTAATATTTTGTTGATTATAATTCAAGGTATTCATCAAAAGAGGACAGTTATGATTGTTAGCAGCTATTCTACAGTTACTATCGAGGATTTGGCAGCCGCTGAACCCGAACTAATCAAATGGTTTCAAATGTATATTTGTCGTAACCGTCAAATGAATATTGATTTAGCTATGCGAGCAAAACGATCGGGTTTTCGGGCACTGGTAGTCACTGTTGACTACAATAAAAGAGGTCTACGATATAATGATGTCAGAAATGGATATTATTATCCCTATCCGATAGTCAACTATAAGCCGACTAACGATCACGAACTGAACAGTTATGTGGCGAAAGACGGTATTTGGCAAAATATCCAGTGGTTAAAAAAGGCAACGGGTTTGCCGATTGTTATCAAAGGCATACTGACCGCTGAGGATGCGAGACTGGCCGTTGATAACGGTGCCGATGCCATACTAGTGTCCAATCACGGCGGCCGACAGTTGGACGGATCGCCGGCTACTGTAATGCTATAATAAATAACAATAGTATTAATTATAAGTTAACTGTTTTTTACTAAATATTTTGTTTGGTATATATAGTTGGAAGCGCTTCCGGAGATAGTGGAAGAGGTCGGTCATGAAGTTGACGTCTATATGGACGGGGGTGTCCGTACCGGCGCTGATGTGTTCAAAGCGTTAGCCATTGGCGCCAAAGTTGTATTTGTCGGACGAGCCGTGTGTTGGGCACTCGTATGCAATGTTTGTACATTTTATTGTATTAAATATTTTTTAAACTAAAAAATTTAATTTTTTTATATTTTTCTTAAGGGTTCCGATGGTGTCAAACAAGTGTTGGACATTTTGAACAATGAATTAGAAAATTATATGTCAATTGCCGGCACACCTAATGTCAGGAATATTACTAGAAATCACGTCCGATATGTTAACGATTATCGCAATCATTTAAAATCAATTTTATAATATATTAAAATTTTAAATTAACATTTTAGGTATCAAATAGTATTTTTTAAAAAATAGACTATTATTTTTATATTATCGATAAATAATAGTTCTGAATATATTCAGTTAACAACAATTATAATTTAATTAATATAATAGATTGCCTTTATTTTAGTTGTTTTGTAAAATTTATTTTAGATTTAATTGTTATTGTTATTATTGTTATCATTAATAAATTGAAATAAAAAAATACTTTAAAATTTTTAAAATACATTATAATAATATGTTTAATATAGTTAAAAGAGACTTAAAAGAACTTACAGTTGTCATAGCTTTCTAGGATTCTCAACTGGTTTTATAAAAAAACTAAAATATTTAAAATGATATTTTTTTTATTTCATTATATATTAATCAGTTATTTATTGATTTTATTTTAAGAAATATTTGAAATTCAAATAATTTTACTATTTTGAATCAAGATAGTTTTGCATATTTTTAAAAATTAATAAAACTTTAAATTTATTAAATATAATTTGATTATTAGTTATAATAATTTTTAGTTTAAGTTACAGTTAATTTAAGTTTCAAGTTAAAGTCATAAATATAACCTTGATAATTAATATGTTATATAAAAATTTTTAATAAAAATTAGATTACAAACGTAATTTTAAATTTTTGAAAAAATAACATATTATTTATAATAAATGATGATAAATATTGTTTATATAACTGATACAATATAACTTTTATTGTATACATTATACATTTTTATTTACTTTATTAATAATATTATTGATTATTATTTATTAGTAAATTTTTTAAGTGCTTCTGGTTCGTGTGATTTTTAATATTATTTCAATATTTATACTAATATATTAAGTATTATAAATAAATTTTTTAGAAAAATATTTTTTAATTTAGATGATAAGATAAAATAATATAACATAAACTAAAGGCATCATAAGTAAATGTGATTATAAAAGTTATAAATATTAAATACATTCATAAATTTTAAATTACTAATATTATTATACATATAAAATAAAATTTTATATTTGTAAACTTTTGAAAAAAAATTTAAATATAAAAAAATTATGTTAATTTTATCAAATTTTGTTTGTTTTTTATTAATTGGTTTTACAATTAGTAATCAACAAGGTATAAATTGAAGTTTTAAAAATTATTATTTTATTAAAATTTTATTTATAAATTTCTAATTTTTGATTAAAATTATAAAATTTATATTTTCATTAAGCATTATGCAATATAATTGATTTACCACGTACCACTACAACTACCAGTTCAATGACACAATCAAACCCATCACCAAAATTGGTTAGTATTGCCGATATCGAAGCCGAAGCCAATCGGCTTATGGAACCGTCGATCAGGAGTTACCTGAATTATGGTGTACTCAGTGGTGAGACATTGAGAGCTAATGTCGATGCATTTAAATGGTTGCGCATACGGCCCCGGTATATGGTTGATGTGTCGAAGCGTAACCTAAGTGTCAGTGTGATCGGCGGCGATACCATACCGATGCCAATAGCAGTGTCGCCGTCTGGTCTTCACAAACGTTTTCATCCGGACGGCGAGTTCGCGACCGGCAAAGGTTAGCCGAATTTATTTCTTTATATCAACAATAATACTGTATATTATTATCAATAGCTGTTCGTCAAAAGGGCACAGTTATGATTGTCAGCATTGCATCGACGGTAGCTATCGAAGAGTTGGCCGCCGCCGAACCCGACCTAATCAAGTGGTTACAGATGTTTATATATCGTGATCGTAATATGACTATTGATTTGGCGCTGAGAGCAAAACAGTCGGGTTTTCGGGCACTGGTACTAACTGTTGACTACAACGCTAGGGGACTCAGGTATCACAATATAAAGAGCGGTTACAAAACAGCGCATAAAATGGCAAATTATGAATCGTATAACATTTCCAAAGATGTGGCCAAAGATACCAATTGGCAGGACATCCGATGGTTAAAGGAGACAACTGGACTGCCGGTTGTTATTAAAGGCATAGTTACCGCTGAAGACGCCCGGCTGGCCGTTGATAACGGTGCCGATGCTATACTAGTGTCCAATCACGGCGGCCGACAGTTGGATGGATCGCCGGCTACTGTAATGTTATAATAAATAACAATAATATTAATTATAAGTTAACTGTTTTTTGCTAAATATTTTGTTTGGTATATATATATAGTTGGAAGCACTTCCCGAGATTGTCGAAGCAGTTGGCCGTGAAGTTGACGTCTATATGGACGGCGGTGTCCGTACCGGTGCCGATGTGTTCAAAGCATTAGCCATTGGCGCCAAAGTTGTGTTTGTCGGCCGACCCGTGTGTTGGGGACTCGTATGCAATGTTTGTATAAGTTTTTTATATAAAAAAAATAATTATTCTTTTTTTGTAATAATAATATTATTATTGTAATCATATATATTTAGGGCTCTAATGGTGTCAAACAAGTATTGGACATTTTGAACAATGAATTAGACAATTATATGACAATTGCCGGCACACCCACTGTCGGGGATATTACTAGAAATCATGTCCGATATGTTAACGATTATCGCAATCATTTGAAAACAATTGAAAACTTATAATAATTTATTATTTTTTAAAAATATAACATTAACTATGATTATTATGATTACTAATGTGTATAAATTGATAAATTTAAATTATTTAATTAATCTAATATATTCAAATACAAATTTCTATAGTATATTATTAGTCAATATATCTATAATTATCACTTTAGTTTATAATTTGAAAACTTAATTATAAATTATTTAAATAGTAATAATAAATAATATACTGTTTTATAACAATTAAAATAAATAGACAACTGATATAGATTTTCTAAAAGTTAAATAATAAATATTCAAAATATTATTTATTTTTTATATACTAAATCGTATTACAGTTTCCTATGTTTTTTTTAATAATTATTTATTTTATATAAAAATTCGGTAATAAGATTATATTGATAAAGTTTTTTTTTCGATAATTTATTGATATAAAACATAAGGGTATTAAAATTGTTAATTATTTTTTTTAATTAATTATTTTTGTTTTTTATTTTTTGTTTTTTTATTTTGCAGATAATGTTAATGTTTTTTTTTTTTAAATAATAAAACACTGAAAGATGGTATAAAACTTTTATAAAAAGGTATAAAAAATTATTAACAATTTGAAAACTATTGAAAAAATATATATCTTATGAAAATCTTTGAAATGACAATTGAAGGCCAACTTATAGCATACCAATCCTTTACTTAGTAGTTACGCCTACTTTTTTTTAATACATAAAACAGTAATTTATTAACAAATAGGTATAACCTGGGTATATTTTATATAATATATTATGTATACTTATTATTACTACTAAACTAGTGTATAGGTTATCAATAGCAATAGACCATACATTACTAATGTTTGATAAATTAACAATAGATTCAAACACTTGCGTTAAAACAAATTTTTATTAATTATGGTATAGATTTGTTGGTAAAATTTATAATATTGTATAATAAATTGAATTTTGTGGAAAATTTTTTTGACGCATATTCAGTATATACAGTATTTTATTACACAAACACACAGAAAGAGAGAGAGAGAGAGAGAGAGAGAGAGGAACGGTATGAAAAAATACTAGTCCTTTAAAAAGTCTGTCTCTATAGTAACCAGACAGTGATGATTGCGCGCACAGACATAAACAGTATGGGGTATTATAACCAGGGTTTTAAGTTAATAAATGCCTGCACTGGCAATGCCCAAATAGATGCCATAAATGCCTCTGCATTTTGGGCATCTATTTTATTTGCCTGCCACATTAAATTGATAAAAAGCAATTGTATTTATAAAAATTTTTTAACGTGTTAATTAAATTTACAATTAATATACGTATTTCAAATGATATTACCTTTTAATTAACGGTATACAAAACAAATATATAGATAAAACAATGTTTTGTAAATAAATAAATAATATAAAATCATAGTAATAGGTGTCACCACCTGAAAATAGATGCCCAGGGCATGGCAGAGGCAGGGCAGGCATTTGGCAAAATTGGCATCTATTGTTTATGCCTGCCACATTTAAAACCCTGATTATAACTGGTATTTTTAACTATACATACATAAAGTGTAGATAAATATTGTTAGTCTTATATAACATTGCATATTACAGTATATACCGGTAGATAATATTATTATAGACATTATTCAGACATATACTGTACAGTAGTTTATTATTGAAGTGTGTGTTTGTCTTATTTGTCTTATTGGTAAAAAACAAGCTAGATAACATTTTTGTGTGGACAAAATAATCTAGGTGTAAGTATGTTAACTGTATATAATATATACTATATATATCATAGATTAATTACTAGTTAGTTATAATTTGTTTGAATTAAAAATGTGTTTTATTTAAATGTGTTTTTTAAAATTTTTGTTACTATTGTATCTAAATTATCGATAGTATTTAGTATGTAAAATGTTGATTAATTATAATTAACTTTTAATTAAATATTAATAATATCTAAATTAGTTATACATGATAATAATACTGTATTATTTTTTTATATATTAGATTGTCAATGACAATTTGTCATAGTATATATATTGCTATGATTATTAAATTCAATAAAGTTAATTTATAGTAAATATAGATTATAAAAATTAATATATTTAAATTAGTTTATATTCAACTGTTCAAGGTTATTTAAATACTACTATATGTAGTTTTAATTAATTATAGTAAATAGGATACAGTATATAACTGACTAAATAAACACTAAATAAAATTTAAATAATTATATAGTTTTAAAATTTTTTTAATATTAATAAATATATAATTAGTTACTTTAAAAAATAAATACCATAATTAAATAATTAATTAATTATTTATTTATTTTTTATTATTATTATTTTATATAAAAGTTAGTTTACTATCTAATATTATATTAATGATTTTAATGTATATGTATTGTAACATTTGTTTTATTTATTATGTCCCACATTTATTTATATAAATATATTATTATTATGTTATTTTTAAGTTAGACTATCCTTGAATAACTGTACAAATAGGAAAATTATATTATTTATAAAATATATAATTTACTTATAGATTAAAAATAATAATAATATTTAATAAAAATATACAGTAAAACACTGTTACTATAATATTATATGATATAATTGTATAAAAGTTAAACAATATTATCATACAGTAAAGCATTCATAACATTATCTAATATAATGATTATTATGGATATTTAAAACAATGATATTTTTTACAAAAACAATTTAAACAATTGATATTTAATATATGATTTTTTTAAATCTTAAAAATAACAACAATGACTATATATGTACAGTACATTGTATAGTAAAATATTATAATTAAAAAATATTTCAATGTATTAGTCATAATAAGCAGATGCTATCATATTAGACATGTAATTAGGATTCAGGAAATTAAAAAAATAAATAATTAATTTTGTTTTGTTTGTCTAAATAATTAAATTTGTTTTAGATTAAAGATTTAGTTGACTACTGTTTTTATACAGCTTTAATTTTATTTGAATTGTAATATTTTTATTGATAATCAAAAAATTTTATTTTTGTTTAAAAACAAGTCAATTAGATTTCTAATGTATTTTGATATTTTCAAGGAACTTATAAGTTATTTTAAATTTTATTTATTTTGTATTTTTATTTTTTTAAAAAATAAATAAATATTCAATGGGCGTATAATACTTGAAATCTAAACTGTAGTCACATAGCATATCATATTATAATTTTATTTTTTTCAAAATACATTAGTATTCAAATTTAATATTTCCGTATATATGACTTGAATATGATTTATTTGTTATTTTGTTTGACATATCTGTATATTTATATACTATATATTAGATGACATTTGTTTGTCGGAAATCAAGTTTAATCTTATTTCATAAATATTTGTCTCATCAATTGATTATTAATAATAATATTAACTTTAATATTTTCAAACAAACGTTTGCTATAAACTATAAGCAATGTAAGTACATATTTAACTATACGAAAAGTATTTAATTTATTAATTAGTTATTATTTTTTTGTGTTGATAATTAATAAAATTATTTCAGCTTAATAATAAATTATTAAATGTTTTTTACTATCATATTTGTATGAAATATTACTAACAGATAGTGTTATAATAAACATCTATTAGTAATTTATCAGTAAATAAGTTATATTTTTTATAAAAATAATATAAATATTAAAAATTTATTATCAAAATATTATAATCAACTTAAATATACCAAAAATTCCAAAATAAAATAATTATTTTAAGTTAAATCCAATCAATGTTATTAAAAAAATAATAATAATAAATTAATAAATAAATATTTTATTCATATTTTTCATATAATTTTTAAAAAATAATTTTTTAGTTCAAACAACACGACATTTACGACAACAATCTAAAGGTCTAACAAATACTACCGAATCAATTAACAATATGGTTGATCCTAAACAAGTGCCGACTGTCAAGTTTAATAATGGTGTAGAAGTACCGGTTATCGGTTTGGGCACCTGGCAGGCACCGCGCGACGGTTCACTGTACCGATCGGTGCGTACGGCTATCGAGTGCGGCTATCGGCACTTTGACTGTGCACTGGTCTATCGTAATGAAGAGGAAACTGGACGTGCAATCAACGATGCCATCAAAGATGGTTTGGTTAGTTTGTCATTAGATTTTAATATACCAGTGCTGCTGCTGCTATATATATACATAAACAAATCAATAGTTAACATATATTTAAATTAATGCACCGATTATTTTAGGTTACCCGCGAGGAACTGTTTATCGTATCGAAAGTTTGGATAACTTACCTGAAACGGGATCGTGTGATGGATTGTGTGAAGAAAATACTGGAAAAATTTCAGACACCATACCTGGATCTGGCACTTATTCATTGGCCAATGTGTTTTGCACAGGTAGACGATACACTGTTTCCTACCGATGCCGATGGCAAGATTATTGGCGGCGATGTTGACTATATCGAGGCGTATCAGGGACTGGAAGACTGTGTAAAAGCCGGTCTCGTACGTAGTATTGGTATTTCTAACTTTACGTCGGCACAGGTAGATAGATTGGTTAAAGCCGTTACCATTGTTCCGGTTACTAATCAGGTACGATCATCATCAACAACAACAACAAAATAATTGTAAAATGTTATTTTTTTTACTATACGATACGCGCACCGGTAGGTCGAGGCTCATCCCTATTTGAATCAGAATAAGTTGCGAAAGTTTTGCGAGGAACGGGGCATAACTTTGACCGCCTATTCGCCACTGGGCAATCCTGGCTCTGTCGATAGCAATCCACCCGATAGGGGTTGCCTACTAAAAGATCCGGTAATCTTACGTTTAGCCCAAAAGTATGGCAAAAATGCCGGCCAGATATTGCTTAAGTTTCAGGTAAGCTTTTTACCGGTAGTGTCTAACTAAGCTGTTTCAATGTATACTATGCACTGAATACATACCCTATAATTATAATTGTTTTTATTTTTGTTTATAGACTGACCGAAACATTATAGTTGTGCCCAAAAGTGTGAACCCGGATCGCATCAAATCAAATATCCAGATATTTGACTTCAAACTAACGGATGAAGAGCTCCAGGAGTTGGAATCGTTGGACCGAAACTATAGGTCCAATTTGTTTGAGATAACACGCGATTTGCCTAACCATCCGTTTGATCCATCGATCGACTTTTGAATTGATATATAACAACAATATATATATCTTATATATTTATACATATATATATATATATTAAGGTTTAATGAATTTTCTTTTTTTCGGAACATTTGGTTACTCTATACTATAATAATAGTATCTTTTTAGATTAGATTTAACTATCATATTAAATATGATTTAAAATTTTAATGTGTATTACTATTTACTGCCAATTATTATTATTATTATATTGTGTTATGTTATGATATATGTATTATTATTCTTATATTACGGTAATTTGATATATATTTGAATTAATTTATAGATATTACTTTAAAGTATATATTATCTTTTATGTTTATTATTATTATTATTATTGGTAAATTTTTGTTTACGGTATTATGGATGAAATATAATTATATATTATTAATAAATAGCATAACAATATTTATTCAAAAAATATCATAAATTAAAAAAAAAATGTAATTTTTATATTTAGAATATTTAGTATAATAAATTACTTTTTGATTCTAGACAATTTAATGATATTTATTTTATAAATATTTAATATAATTAAATATTAATTTATATTATTTTGCTAAATAATAATGCTAAATATGGTTTTTTATACAGGAACACTTTTTTAAAAACAATTCCTACTTTTATTATTGTTATATTGCTATATAAGTTACTGTAGATATATAATAAGTGATTATTATTTAAATATCTCTGTTAATAATTTAGTTTCTTATAATATTAAAAATAAATTATTAATAAGAAATTATCATGAATATCATCGAAAGATTTAATTTAAAAATTAATATTCAATTAAATTTGTTTATTATTATTTTATTACAGTTATAGATTATAATGTTATTTTATTGGTAATAATCATAGAGTATAAATTATATATAAATTATTATAATTTATATACAGTACTACAGTATCAGTAAATAATTATAAATTATAAATTACAAGTTATAAATATATAATAATATAATTTTATTATATTAAAAAAAATATTTTATGATGTTTTCATAATAATAAAACATAAGTTTATCATAAATTTAATTTACTATAAACTAATTTTTGATCACAATATGACTCTGAGTTTTCAACAACAAAAAAATTATTTCTAAATTATGTACAAATAAAACTTATTAAATTATAATTTTTAAAAGAAAATATTTTGTAAATAATTTATAATTTTATTTTAATATATTAATAATTAATTTCAAAAATCAATTCAAACTCGTTTCCAAATTTTGATGGCCTTATTTTCAGGACGTACCTCATCATCGGTTAAAGTAAATTCAATGTGACGGTGTTCGGCATTATTATTATAGCGGTCGCCGGTAAATAAAAATATCTGGTCAGATGTGGCCGGCAATACAGTTACGGTAGTATTTTTGCTGGCCGCTTCAAGCGATTTACTATTGACAGTCAGTACGCGAGTGCTGGCCAATTGTGTCTGACCAAAATCGGCCGCTTGTCCGCCGACAACACGGAAAAACAGACCCGAATAGTTGGCACTGATATCTTCGAACAGGATTTTTGGCCACAAAACCGACGGTTCCGGTTGATCGGGCAATTGGACATAGATATAGCCCAGCGGTACTACAATTATACATATACAGTATATTAAAAATTAATTAATTATCTAAAAAATGTAATATTATAAACTAGTTATATATTTTTTAAAAAATAAATATTTTTAACAATAATAAAAATATCAAATTAAAAATATTATTTAATAAAATTAACTAGTTAATATATATTAAAAACATACTTGCTGAACCAGATACATTGTCCAATTGATCTTTAACATTGCCTAATTGTACCAGGGCATCGTCCAAACTAGATTTAGCTTGCTGCTGGTTGCGTCTTAAATTGATTACCAATCGTTTAATATAGTCATCGTCCCAGCTTGGTGGTTTCTCACAAATTAGCCAGTTCATCAAATTGCATGATACATCACTCCATAGACTGTCAGCTGATCTGGCAAATCTGGCCAAATCGGATTGCAGTTCAACACAAGCGGTTTTAGGATTATCTCTAGGCCTGCCCGGTGCCCAATTAGTATACGAACTATTATCTAACAGTGTATTGTCGTTCCATAGAAATTGATTGGGGTCTGACTCTGACCTTTTCAAACCAATCCAAATGTTAACCTCCAGTTCATTTGGCAACCATTTGCCCAGAGCTAACTGTTCATCAAGTGTTTTGATTGTTAACAGTTTTGATTGTTGACTATTGCACACTGATTCGGCCTCTGAGTATGATTTAAACTCGGTGATTAGCTTAATGCATTTTTCATCGCCATAGGCTGTCCAACCGTCACCCGGACACAACGGATTATCGGTTACCGGAGTTGTTTTGGGTTCACTAGTAGCTGTAGATGGAGTTGGAGGATCAGTATCAGCATATGGTTTACATGCTAAATTTGTGCTAGCTAACAAACAAATAAACAAAAAATAATTATTTATAAAAATAAATAACTTAATAAAAACTAATATTTATAATTAATTAATTTTTACCATTAATTAGTAAAAATGCAACAATTAGAGTTTTCAAATGCATTTTTAAAAAAATATATATTATTAAAAAACAAGTTTTTTAATAATAAAAATAAATGCCGTAATATCTAAGTTAATAGGTTTTACTTTCTTTTATATAATAATATATCTATATTTATACTTTAAATACAATTACAGTAAATGTAATAAATATTTAATTTGTTTTTCAGCGGCATTTAGTTTTTATTTGAGAAACTATAATACATTTCATGTATAGTATAATAATAATAATTTTCATTTTTTGGTAAAACTAGATCATAAAATTGCATAGTTTAAATTTTATTAGTTTATTACTTCAATGAAATTGATAACTGAACTTGATAAATCTAATGTTTTATTTAATTGTTTAGCAATTGATATTAATAAATCATGTAATTATATATATGATAAATTATTAGTTTTACTAATTATAAATTATATTAATCGTTTAAACAAATATAATTAAGACATAAAATAATACTTTTTATTTGAAAATTTCTACAAAATAAGTAATACATATCATATATTTAATTTAATGTTATTTTTTAATTTATAACTTTACTAGAAATCTTTATTAATTAGTTAATAACAATCTTTTTATTTAGAAAATATATATTGCAATGTTTTTTCAAATTAAACATGTATTTAATTAATTTATTTTGTCAAATATTATAATTAATAGTATATTTATTATTATAACACATCATACAAATATTATTGAATAATTTTTAATTTACAAAAATTAATATATGCTTACTATAAAAATAAATAAATATATATATTATTTAACTAATAATTTTATATAAAGTTCAGATAAATAAGAATTACATATCATTTTAATAATAAGAAAATTAAAAATATATATATATTGATAGTGGGCAAATTTATTTTCGTTTTTTGGTATTCTTAAAAGTTACTAAGTTTTTCTGTGACTTTTTGCTATATTTAAAAAATAATTTTTTGACTATTATAAACTTTGATATCTAGTCTTAAATTGTATTATTAAATATTTGTTATATATGTTTAAATGTATCCGTTACAAGGCCTGACATCACATGACATCTGTATCAGATATGACATAAATTATTAATATCATCGTTAATAAACGGTACGGTGGCGGGCAAAAATTTTAATAATGCCAATTCTAAAGCCCTAAATGTAATCTCTTATCAAGCATAATTAAAAAAATTAAAAGTAAAAGATGTAGTTGCAAATGACAAAGAAAACCTGGAAAACCATCAAAACTTAAAATTTAAAAAATTAAAGAAATAATTTTGCTAAATTCAAGATTTTAAAGAAAATTAAAGGGAAATATATTAAAGTTTGCTTTATTAACGTTTAAAAAAATATTCGGTCGTAATAGGCTAAAGTTTTGTGACATTTATTTAGGTTCTATATAATTTCACTCATTACCTATAGGAAAATCACGTGAAAATATGACAACAATTATTTTAATGTAAAATTTCAATGGATTTATACCATGAATTAAAATAGTCGTTTAATCATTTTATTAAACAGATATTGCTTTGTAGAATTACTATTAGTTTTTATTTATAAAACACTTCTTTGATGGCAAAAAAATTAAAATTCGGGAAGTGGTCAAAATCGGAGTCAATGAGTTTATCTCTTCAAAACTAGATGAAGTTGTTAGACCACAGTATTCAAAATTTTTTAGACTAATGAAGATATGATAGAGAATCAAACGACGATTATATAATTTATTAAAATAGAATAGCTTTTTAATAAAATAAATTTTAAAAATGTATAATGAAACCGAAAAAACATTTAAGCGCGCTCAATATATTGTAAAAAATTTATTGATTAATTACATATAAATAAATTAATATTATAATAATACTAGCTTTAATTCTAAAAATTGATAATTAATAAATTTTGAAATTTTTTATTTTACTTTTAATTTCTATGTTCAATACCGACAAAAACATGTTTAGCGGCCAGTTTTGCCGACTTTACATACTTTAGTGAAAATTTAGTTTTGTTTGGCGGAAAGAATCGGTATTTTTGTATGATATGAGCCAAACATAACTTCATCTCCAATAATGCAAACCGTTGTCCAATACAAATACGCGGACCGGAACCAAACGGTAGATAAGTAAATGGCTTAATATTTTTGATATTTTCGGGTAAAAACCGGTCCGGTATAAACTTATTGGCATTTGGATAGTACTCTTCCGAATAGTGTATAGCATAGATGGGAATGTCTACTCTCTGGCCTTTTTGTATTGTAATCCCAGTGTCGCCCAGTTTATAGTCATCGGCGGCTTTGCGTATAAGTCTAGTAAAAGGTGAATGCAATCGAAGCGCTTCCTTAACACAGGCGTCCAAATATGTCAGTCCCGACAATACATCGTAATCTATAGTAGTCTCTCCATTGTCATCGACGTCGACGGCAGCCATAACTTCATCGTATAGCCGCTGCTGACAGTCCTCATTGATGGCCAATTCATAGGTCAGGAAAGACAATGTCGAGGCAGTTGTCTCGTAGGCGGCAAATAATGTAGTCATAAATTGGGCTATTATTTCGTCTTCATTTAGTTTATTATTATTTTTATCTAATTTTATATTCATCGTGTTTTGATCCATTTCCTCTTTAGCTATCGTATAATATATATAACCAAACATAGTATTAGTAGTAGTAATCATAATATTAATCTTAATTTATATACTTGTTATAAAAAACAGATAATAAAATTAAAAATCATAGATAAGACTATCATTAGGCGCTGAAAATAGTTTGGTTGTCCCCTAACTTTTTGGCTTTAAAAAAATTTATCTGCCTTCACAACCCTGATATATATATATATATTGTATATCAAGGTTTTAGACTTTTAATTTAAAGTTTTACTGATTTTACAATTTTTAAGATTATTTAACTTATTTAATCAGTCGTCATCACTCAATGGGTAAAATGACACAATATGTTAGTCTATATTTTTCAAAAAAATGTATTATCAAAATCTATTAGACAAATTTTGCAAAAATTAAAAAATATTTATATACTGTATTATTATCATTTTTGGATAAAAAAAATTTTTATATAATTTTTTAGTAGTATGATATACAAAATTTAAAATAAAACTGTTTAGATAGATTATTTATGTGATGTTTGGCAACTTTCATAGGGAGAAAAGTTCCCTTATAAAATACCGGGGAAATAAAGTTTCGGGAAAATTTTTTTTGTCACATTTTTCATCGTTAGAAAGTAAAATGCCAAATTATTTTTTTGCATAAAATTTCATTGAAATATTTAAAAATATATTTGAATTCAGTGTTTGTGTGTGTGTGTGATGTTTTGTCAACTATCATAGGGAGGGAAGTTTTCCTAATTAAATCCCTAGAATTTTCTGGGAAAATATTTTGATAGCATAGGGAATTAGATTCACTGGGAATTTCCAGAGAGTTTGGAAAATAGGAAATTTTTTGGACAATAAAACGATGGAAGGGGTAAATTGTCCGAAGATTAGTAATTTAAATACAATTAGTTTACTTACAATCATTGTTATCGGTATCTCTGTGTTCGGCTTCAATAAACAATTGAATTAAATCGTTAAATTGTTTATCACTTTTACGCCTACTATCGAGCAAATGGCGTAAATATTTGATTACATATTTAGTGGACATAGTGTTAAACAAACCCAAATTGTATAGTAATTTACTAAACATTTTGGGTGTAAGTGTTTGGGCAACAAATGATATTATCAAAAATTGAACCGATTCTATAATCATTCGTATTAATTGATTATCATTATTATTATCATTATTATATGGATTCAATTTGTTAGCAAATGAACAGGTAAACACTATATCCAATGATAACCGACTATATATATGTTTAACTTCTATAATTGACTTTTGGTCGGCCAATGGACTCAAATAGTTGGTTAAGTCGTCCAAACATTGTTTCATCAGTGGATACATGCGTTTCATTTTACCCGAAGTAAAGATCGGTGTTGTTATCGATCGGATCCGTTTCCAGCGATTGCCATCAATTAAGATAAGACTTTGACTGATGATTGGATGGGGGAACTCGGCGTTCATACGATTGGGTAATATATGAAAATCTTTTATCAGTATCTGTTTGATGAGTTCCGGTTCGGCAACGGTTAGTATAGGCCAACCCATTAAATGATATCTGTTATAACAATTATAAAACAAAAATTATTTATTTAAAATAAAAACTTAGTTATAATTTTTTTTATAAATTTTATTAAAGTTATTAAAGTATTTGCCCATAAATTTTGCCAAATTTGTTCAGCCATTCTATTTCAGTGATTAGTAAAGGCTTTAGAAAATATAATTGAAACAAATTTCCAAATATAGGCCACGGTTTGGGTCCAGAGATACCACGATTTGACCAATAATTAAATTCACATGTTTTATATCTTCATAAATATTTTATTTAAAAAAAAACATTATTTTAAATATTATTTCAAGATAATTAATTAATTAATTAATTAATTAATTAAATAAAAATAATAATAATAATAATAATAATAATAATAATAATAATAATAATAATAATAATAATAATAATAATAATAATAATAATAATAATAATAATAATAATAATAATAATAATAATAATAATAATAATAATAATAATAATAATAATAATAATAATAATAATAATAATAATAATAATAATAATAATAATAATAATAATAATAATAATAATAATAATAATAATAATAATAATAATAATAATAATATTAATAATAATAATAATATTAATAATAATAATAATAATATATCTAACCTAATAAATATATATAACAATATAATAAGCAGTATAATAGCAGTAAAAAATAAAATTAGCATTTTATTAATAATTTTTTTTGATAATATAAATTTTTCAAAATATAAAATTAAATTCAACTATTAATCTATAATTTTATTAATAAAGAAACTCTTTTTATATGTTCTGTTTATTGTTAGTAAAAGTACTGAATTAATTGATAATATTGTTTGGATTAAAAAAACATATTTAATAATTTATAAATTATTATTAAATGACTTTTTCAATATCAAAATAATTCTATGGTTTATATAATGGACGTAATATTTGACAATATATTTTATAATATAATACATTTTAAATGCGTCAGAGTTTTGGTAATTATTGTAATTATCAAATTATATTCATTAACTTTTTATTAATATTATGTAAAAATTTATATCAAATTTATGATTAATATGTTGGTCTTATAATAGTATTTATTAATTATTATTTGTTTTTATTTTTATTTATGTTTATAATTTATTACAAGTAATACTATTTAATATATGATATCTTATAATAATAATTTGATTGACTAATCGCTATTATTTCATGAGTGAAAAATTATATATATATATATATAATATTAGAGGTGTAAGTTGATCTGAAAATCTCGTCGTGTCCCGTTATGTCCCGTTTTTTCCCGTTATGTCCCGTTGTTTCCCTTTTTGCAAGATCTGCAAAACTCTTGAAAGTTGTGCTAATTCTTGTAGGTTTTCCTAACATAATATACAGTCAATTGTTATAATATTATACTTATATATAATATTTATTATACAATAAACATAATATATCCAATTTATCTCAAATTTCTAATAATTGAATGCGAGATAAAAATTATAAAACTACTAGAGTTGTTATGAAAATTAGGTAATAAATTTATTAATAAATTTTATTTTTCTAAAAAATAATGTAAATTAATTTTATCTACTGTGCTGGTCACTCAACTTAAAATCTAAAAAAGATTATTATTAATAATAATAATTACAATAAAACCTCTAGTTTTATATACGGTATATTAAAAATATAAAACAAGAATGAAATTTATTCAAACCCTAGTAATGATTAATATAAAATTTATTAATAATTTTTGTTTAAAAATAAATATTAAATACATTTAAAAATAGATTTTACTTGCGTCAGAGTTTTGGTAATTATTGTAATTATTTTTTTATATACATTAACTAATTATTAATATTATGTAATGTTTATATCAAATCTATGATTAATATGCTGTATATTTATTAATTACTTGTTTTTATTTTCCATTAATGTTATAAGTTATTTAAAGTACCGTATCTGACCAGTATAGTCGCCACCCCTAAAATGACAGACTGGCTACTAATGTAATCATTTGTTATATAACAGTATTATTGATATTATATAAATGCATGTAATAGGGAAATGTCTAATATCAATACTATATATATATATATATATATATCAGGGTTGCTAAAGGTTTTCGATTTCAGGGAGGGTATAGGGGGGTAAAATGACAAAATTTTCGAAAAAGCTAGGGGGTATAGGGGGTGAACGATTTTTATTGCATTTTTAATGACAATTTTTGCCAAATTTGAATAAATTCCCACTAAATTCGCATTAAATTCCCACTAAATTTCCACTAAATTCTTAATAAATTCCCAATAAATTAACTAATAAAAATATTATCAACTTAATATCTCAATACTCAAAATGTTTTCTAAATATTAAGAATTAATTAATTAAGAAACTATTATAATTATAATTATTAAATGAAAATAAAATTATTTAGTTTTTAAAAAATAGTTATTAATTAAAAAATTAAAGATATAGTACTGTATTTATTATAATGTTTTAATAATAATAATAAAATTGTCAGAGATAATTATTAATTAGCTCTAAATAAATAATTTAATTTAGTTTAAGAATATATCTTTTTATAATATTTTATATTGTACCATAACTAACACAATTTAATATAAAGATTCTAAATTCCCACTAAATTCCCACTAATTCCCACTAATTCCCATTATTATATATAAATTAACAAATAAAAATATTCCCAACTTAATTTCTCAATACTCAAAATGTTTTCTAAAATATTCATTTTTTACAAAAATATAAAAAATAAAGAACTGCATAAATATATAAACTTTTTAATTATATAATTATTTTAAAATATTTTGCTAAAAATTTTAGTTTTCGACTTTTAATATGAAATAAAATATATACTATCTTTTATAAAGAGCTAAAAAATAAAATAATTTTTCTTGAAAATTGGTGTGAATTTATTAGGGAACTTTTTTCCCTTGTGGAGTACCCCAACTAATGTAAACGATGTTAAATTGATGCAATTAAATATTTTTATCTATTTATTTTCTATAAATAAGCTATTAATTTATATTAAAACTAATTTAATATTTATTTTTTTGTTTAATATAAAATTTAAGATAACATAGTTTAAAAAATTTTTCGCCGCCTTCGGCGCCGAAAATTGGTAGGGGCCCCCTAACTTTTTGGATTCAGGCCAGGGGGGGTAAAAGCCAAAATTTCTCGATCTCAGGGCGGGGGTAAGACGTCTTACCCCTCTCTTTAGCAACCCTGATATATATATATAATGTTATACTACACAGTATATAATTACTTAAATTATAGTATAATTACTAGAATAATCATTTAAACTGTAATTTATATTTCAATAAAACTGTAAGAATTGATTATAAATGTCATTATTAATGGAGTCCTTAAAAGGTCCTTAAAAAGAAAAAAGTGACGGATATTAGACAATCATAAAAACTCATTAAAAAATAATTTTAACACTCAAACCGCCACCTGGTTTCTAATACCACTAAATCCGCCACCCTTTACCTAGTTTGCCATATGGGGGGGGGGCAACAAGTTGACCGGATTACTAGTCCTATTCAAATCTGATATATCTATAATATAATCAATAACTGGAATTTGGTTACATTTTATAGTATTACAATCAAAACTAAGGCAATATAATTAATTTGGTAGTATTTATATACAGTAAGATAAAGTATATGACTGTATAAAATATACACTAAATAAAGTTTAATCTAATTTCATAAATATTTGTCTAATCAATTGATTAATAATAATAATAATAATAATAATTTTCAAACATAAGTTTGTCTAATTATAAGCAATGTAAGTACATATTTAACTATACGATAGTATTTAATTTATTAATTAGTTATTATTTTTGTGTTTTGATAATTAATAAAATTATTCCATATTATAGTAATAATAAATAGTTGAATGTTTTTATTATCATATTTGTTTGAAATATTACTAATAGATAGTGTTATAAATTAAAACATGTATTAATAATTTTCAATAAATAAGTTATATTTATAAAAAATAATAATAAATATTTAAAATTTGTTATCAAAATATTATAATTTACATAAATATCTACAAATTAAAAAAATTATCAGTGGCCAATGCTAACTGTCCATCAAGTGTTTTGATTGTTGACTATCGCACACTGGATTAGCTTGATACATTTTTCATTGCCATAGGCTGTCCAACCGCCACCCGGACATAACGGACTATCGGTTACCGGAGTTGTGGATTCACTACTTGCTGTACTTCCATCACTGGATACAGTAGATAAAAAACAGGGGGTTGAGTAAGGTTTTCAATTTCAGAGGGTGGGTATAGGGGGTAAATTGACAAAAATCTAGAAAAAGCTTTAGAGGGGGTATAGGGTGGGGTGAACAATTTTTATTGTATTTTTAAACAACAATTGTTGCCAAATTTGAGTAAATTCCTAATAAATTTTAGTTTAAAAATTTTTAAAAAATGAAGTTTTGTATCAAATTATATATATATATAAAAAATTTAAAAAAAATCATGTAATTACTTGTATTTGCTTTTTATTTAGTTAATTATAATGTTTTTATATTAAAAAAAAAATACTGTACTGTATTTATTATTGTCTTAAAAAAATATTTAATAAATTATTAAATATAAATAAATTTGATATTATAATAAAGCAAATTTTAATTATAAAATTAATAATAATTTTTGAAAATTTTTACTTTACTTTTTCTAATTTCTTTGTTCAATACCGACATAAATATTTTTAGTACAAATTATTGCCGAAAACTTTAGCGAAGAATACTTTTTATTACTCGGAAAGAATCGGTATTTTTGTATGATATGAGCCAAACATAACTTCATCTCCAATAATGCAAACCGTTGTCCAATACAAACACGTGGACCGCAACCAAACGGTAGATAAGTAAATGGTTTAATATTTTTAATATTTTCTGGTAAAAACCGGTCCGGTATAAACTTATTGGCATTTGGATAGTACTCTTCCGAATAGTGTATAGCAGATATAGGAATGTCTACTCTCTGGCCTTTTTGTATTGTAATACCAGTGTCGCCCAGTTTATAGTCATCGGCGGCTTTGCGTACAATTCTAGTAACGGGTGAATGCAGTCGAAGCGCTTCCTTAATACAGGCGTCCAAATATGTCAGTCCCGACAATACATCGTAATCTATAGTTGTTTCTCCATTATCGTCGACATCGACGGCGGCCATAACTTCGTCGTATAGTCGCTGCTGACAGT